TCAACCACAATTACCAAGCTGGCTCCAATCTCTCAGTTCACTTGCCCACTACAGCAGCACTTCATATACTTCCTCTCTCATCCTCTCTCTTTTCATCCTCCACCCATCCACACTCTACTCCAAGATATGGGACAAGAAATTCTAGGGAGGGTCACATACTCCCTCTCTCATTATCTCTATTTTCATCGTCCACCCATCCACACACAACTCCAAGAAATGGGTAAAGACAATCTAGGGAGGGGCATTATTCTATGGACAGTTGGCGTCCCTTTGGGAATCTCATTCTCATACCTATCCTCGATTCCTCGACATAAACTTCTCTTTTGTACTACGAGTCTCAATGATTATTACTGTGGGGTATGCTGCACTCTATGCTGCTGGGTGCTCTCATCAGCTCTCTCAACAGAAACAGAGTCAACAGGTTCTCTATCATATTGCAGTGGCCTGAAGCTCTCACCAATTCTTCCATCAGGTCGCTGAGGTCCAAACCTCATTACCGTCAGCCATGAGAGGTCTTCTTTTCATCACGGTCAGCTACCACTACTGGAGGCCCTTGTCTCTAACCTCAAGGCCCTCTGTTTCTCGATACGAGGTCGCATCTTTTATACATATGTAGGGCTCTGCCCATTTTTTCTTCTTTAGGTTTTTCTTTTCTCTTTTTTCTTCTGCTCTTCTTCTCTCCTGCTACCTCTAACATCTTTTATACATATCTTAAGCCCAGCCCAATTTTTTCTTCTTTAGGTTTATCTATTTTTTTTCTTCTCTTATTCTCTTCTTCTCTCTATCTCTAACTTTTGTTGTCTTAGCACTCAATCTGTGGAATTGCCCTCTTTAGGATTAGAAAAATTGTAATATTATTATTCTAATACAGTTAACCTTTTTCTCAAAAAAAAAAATATCACAAAAGAAAAAAAAAAGAACTAAAAGAACATCAAATGATTCAAATCATAACGAATCATACCAAAAAAAAAATGCCAAACTGTAATTCACATATTGTAATTCACTAGCCATTTCAAAATGAAACCTATAACGGCCCAAACCAGTGATATTTGGTCGTCAAAAAGTCCACTTATACGACCAATCCAAACTCCAAAAAGTATCATGAAGAATTTTTTTATTTCTCAAGAAATTCGAAAAGTTAAAAAAAAAATCTATCTTTAAAAAACATTTAAATACTTAGTTTCTTATAGTTTTTCTCTTTGTAACTTACACATGAGGGGCTTTGAGGAACAAGAACGCTCCCCAACCACCCCCCCCCCCCTTCTTTTTTTCCCCTTCCCCTTTTAGGAGGTGGGAAATCTCGAAAATTCCCTTAGTTGAGGCCCTTTTCCCACCCTCAGCCTCCCTGCGTCGTGGCCCCCGCCTTAAGACAAGAACAGCAGCATCTTGGCCAGCTAGGCGGGTGCCTGGACACATGAGCCTATGTAGCCCGCCCAAGCCATGCCTAGCTGTTTTGGATTCCCAGCCGCCTAGGCCACCGAATTTTTGAATAGTGACTCTGATATTATTGTGGGCAGAGGTGATGGAAGTAGAAATAGGGGATGTGCTCGTGACTCTGGAAGGGGCAGTGGTAGGGATTATGGAGGCAGGGGTTGGAACTCAAAACGTGTACGAATTGTGCGCGTACAAATCATACAGTTGATAATGTTGGATAAGATTGTAATCATGCTTGAGAAAATCAGGTTACTTGCACATTTGAGGTCGATGATGTATATCTGAATGGCCTTGTGAGAATGACATATATTCTGTTGGTGAATCTATTGTTCTTACAAGAGAATAATGTAATAAACTTGTTAGGGAAATGTTGATAAAACAGGATTTAAATATTCAGAAATTTGAAAATTTGAATGAAGGCTTTGTTGGCTTTCTATATTTCTATAATACATATTATCCAAACATGTTCTTTTTTTTGTCTCTTTTACTGTCTACCAATAATTCAGAATCTTTATAGATGTGATATTTGAACTATTTGGTTAACAAAATTAGATTTTTTCGGAAAGCAAGTTTTTCTCAAACATTTGATCGAATACTTTTCAAGACATGATAATATTACTAGAGCATTACCACCAACAATCATGGCTTCCCTTGAAACTTGTTTTTTCATATCCACATCATCATCATCATCACTTTAGCCTTTTCCCAATTAATTAGGGTCGGCTACATGAATCCTGGTTCTCCTTTCTGCTCTATTAAAGGTCATATCCTCAATGAGGCCATAAGTCCCCATACGTTTTCGGACTACTTCCAACCACATCCTTTTGGGCCTACCCCTTGCCCTTTACAGTCCTTCCACTTGAATTAATTTGCACCTCCGAACAGGCGTTGTACTTAGTCGGCACCATACATGGCCAGCCCACCTAAATCTACTCTCTCTCATTTTATCGCCTATTGGTGCCACTCCTAAATTCTCTTGAATAGATTCATTACGAAGTCTATTCCTTCTTGTCTTGCCAGTCATCCATGTCAATATCCTGATCTCCGCTACACTGATACTATGGGTATATTGTTTTTTGTCCACCCAACATTCCATCCCATAGAGCAAAGCTGGTCTCACCACTGTTCTACAGAACTTGCCCATTAGCCTCCTTGGTATGTGGCGATCACATAAAATTCTAGTTGCACATCTCCACTTTGCCCACCCAGCTCTCATTATGTGTGCGACATCTTCCTCGATCTCTCTATTTTTCTAGATTATCAACCTAAGATATCGAAAGTGCGGTCTTTTTTGTATCTCCTAGTTGTGAATCTTAACTACTTCCTTGTCTCTACTACTATGTCTACCAAATTTGCACTCCATATACTCTGTCTTAGTCCGACTAATTTTAAAACCTTTGGATTCTAGAGCATCCCTCCAAAGTTCTAAGTTTGTGTTGACGTCGTTTCGGGTCTCATCAATCAAAACTATGTGTCATCTACAAACAACATCCTCTACGGTACCTTATCTTGCAAGTGCTTAGCTAAGTCGTCCATAACTAAGACAAAGAGGTATGGGTTCAATGCTGACCCTTGATGTAGACCTATTGTCACTGAAAACTCACTCGTCTCTCCACTAGTTGTTCGTACATTAGTAACCACTCCAACGTACATATCTCTCACCAAGTCGATGTAGTGTCTAGAGACGCCTTTCCTTTCCAACACCTGCCAAATCAAATCTCAAGGTACTCTATCATAAGCTTTTTGTAGATCAATAAAGACCATGTGGAGGTTTTTTCCCTTTGCCCTAAACTTCCCAATCAGTTGTCTAAGTAAGAAAATAGCTTCAGTTGTTGACCTTCCTTGCATAAAACCAAATTGGTTTTCAGATACACTCATTTCATGCTTTAGTCGTTGCTCAATCACTCTTTCTCAGAGCTTCATAATATGGCTCATAAGCTTTGATCCCTCGATAGTTTGCATAATTCTGTATGTCTCTTTTGTTTTTGTAAATAGGTACTACAATATTTTTTCTCCATTCATCTGCCATTTTCATTGTTCTCAACACTTTGTTGAACAGCTTTGTCAGCCAGTCAATGCCAATTTCCCCCATGCCCTTTCAAACTTCTATTGGGATACCATTTGGTCCTAAAGCCTTTCCTATCTTCATTCTTTTCAAAGCTTCTTTCACTTCCAACATCATAATCCTACAAATGTGTCTATGACCTCTGCTGTCACTTGTACCTTCTTTTTTTTTTTTAAATCCACATATCAAACAGACACCTGGCAATCCAGCAAGGGTTTCAAATTTCTCTCTGAACTCACTTTGTTGGACTACATATTAAAAAAGCCTTTCTTTTACCCTCGTTTGATAAAAGAGCCAAGCTTTCTGATAACTTGGATTGTCCAGCAAAAAGAAAAACCTCTCTCTAGATTTACAAGCTCTCTCTCTTGTCTTTTTTCTGCTCATCTATATCACTCGATTTACAGCTCTCTCTCTCTCTCTCTCTCTCTCTCTCTCTCTCTCTCCAAATCTTAAAAAAAGAAGTGCCCAACCCATCTTCTCCTTTCCAACTCGAAGCCACCGTATTCATCTTCTTCTCTGCAAATCAAATCACCCAACCTTCTAAAAAAATCTCGAAAGTCCACCAAAAAGGCTCAAAACCATCCTAAATGTGGCATTGAAAATCTAATTTTTTTTATTACTCAAAATTCTAATTTCATAATCGTTCCTCTCAATTTTCTTCCCCTCTTTTAACTGTGTCCAGCCATGAACTCATCTAATGGTGTACACGAAAATCCTTCTATATGGATTAGTAGGTTTCCTCATGGAATTCGATTCTAGTGGTGTTCACTACAATCCTTGTCAATTCTACATCGTACTCCCTAATCCGTGGTGGCATCACTGCTTCACCTTATACCAAAACTCTAAAACTGCCATTGTTATAGAAGAAGAGCAAAACTCAGGTGGGCTCTTTCTCTTTAGGCATGATTAATTGAGGGTCTTCTTCATTTTAGTCGCCGTGAAATTATTTCTGGCTAGGTTGTTTGCTGGCTTGGTTCAGTCCATAAGGCAAGAGAGTGGTGTAGGTGCAATAGGCTCAAAGGGAATGCAGAACATGAAAGATTTTGCTGATGGAGAAATTGAACCCCATAAAATTCACGTCCTACTTGAATTTTGTGTGTTTCAGATAATAGGAACTGTATCTTTATGTTTTGGGTAACTAATAGGAACTTATCTTAATTTCTAGGTGAAGATTTTGGTCAATCAAAGGTTTAGGAACTGGGAAGAGCATGATTGTTGTAAATCTTATATTACTTTGAAATATTCGGATAATATGTAGTTCAAACATACCTTAATCAAGTCCATGTATGAGGTTCTTGCAACTAAGCCCCAAAATCTGTCCTAGTTTTGCATTCTTTCTAATCATGAAATAACAATTTATGTTCCCACCATCACATTTTCCAGATGATTCTCCTTGGTAGATAGATATACATGTTACCAGTACTTATGAATTTGAGTTATATTAACTCGCTCTTTAGAACTGTTTCCACTCATTTATTTTGCACAAACAATCTGTTTACAGGCATTTGGACAAATATGTGATGGAGACCCTGCAGATGTAGAGATTGGTTTGGAATTACTCCAGGCTATGAAGGAAAACCTTAATCTCTGTCCATCACGAACAAGTCTTGATTTCCTTCTTAGTGCTTGTGTTCATGTCAAGAATCCCCATTATGCCCAATTAGTTTGGGATGAATATCGGAAAGCTGGCCTTCCTTACAATGTGCTGACTTCTTTAAGGTATCTAAATTTTTCCATTGTGAACTCTTTTGCTTTATATTGCTTGTTCTACATTCACTGTTGCAGCCATGTCAAATTGTAAGTAATGATTATAGACTGCACTATGATGGTCATATTCTTGTTGGATAAGAATATATTTATGCGAACTTTTTAAAATTTTTGCTTACGATGATTATTTTTTCTATGGTTAATTTTCTCAACATTTTTTGACACTTATTTCCCATTGTTTCGTAATACAAAATTTTTTGAGTTAGGGAATTTTTGGTCATTAGGAGGGCTAGAATAAATATTTTTGTAAGAAACTAGTGGCATTTTACTAGTGGTTAAGAAGCAATCATTGCTCCATGTGGGTGATGTTACACGTCATGTAGATGATGTTATCTTCTACTAGTTAATTAATTTTTATCGTTTTGTCAAGAATTTCTACTTTATCCCTGATTAGTTACTTAAAATTGTTGGAATTGTCCTTTCAAAGCATTAAATTCTGATATTTTCAAATGGCTATTGACTCTAATGGGCGTATGAGAGCGACGTGACTATAGAATCTTGGCACACCAGGACCAAGAGTCGTGGAACCTCGATTATGTCATGAGAAGTTTCTATATATGGGAGGTACCAAGAGGGTTGAGGTTTACTTCTAAGTCAAGTTCGATTATTATATTTGTGCCTCATGACTGAGTGATAGGCCAGGGCAATACCATTTTTGTAGGAGCTTGATGACTAAGACTCCTATATGGGAAGGTTAGAGCCAATATAGGGCATTGGTCTAAATCCCTGACAACTACAAACTTTCTCGTAGCATGTGCATACACAGTCATAATGTATTGGAAGCCACTCTTCCAAGGATCCACTGGATAGAGCTATGCACATGTGCCAAGAGAGGAACTCCCGCACCTTATGTGCATGTCCTCTAGGGGGTGCCCCTGAAATCCGCTTAAACTTGGGGATTCAGAGAAACACATCGGTTTGACTTTGATAGGCTAAAATCAGGAGCCCTTGATTATATACCATGGGTCATGAGTCTGTTGGGTCATTTCGAGAAAGTGGTTGTAGATTCCCGGTGTTGTATGCTATTTTTAACACACTTGTATCCCTGAGACGAATAAAACAGGAGACGGTTGCGACCTAGACCTACAGGTACCAAAAATGCCCATGGATTACGAAAGCCCGTGAGTAAACAAACCTAATTTTGGAAAGATTTGAAATGGTGTTATCCTGGCCCCAAAAAAGCATGTGAGGGTGGCATTTGATGCCTCAAAGGTGCCCACCAAGTTTTGTCTCGATCAAACAAAGATACAATGGAACAAGATGAAGTTTCAGTTACAATGTTACTCTTTAACATGTACAAAATACCTTATAACTAGAGTTATATTGTTAAGGTCTTTGATGATCGTCAGAGCACCAGAGACAGACTCAGAAGGCCCAAAAACCTCAGAATACAAAGTTTCAACTCAATTGGACCCTTCTAATGCTGACTTGCCTAAAATGGGTAGGCCTTACACTATTCATGAGAAGCCACTATGAACCAATTTCTATTTATGGAAATTGTGATTTTCAAAAACGGAGTTTCTTGCAAAAGCCATATCTTCTTCGTCTTGAGGCCAATCGACCGCAAATTTTAGTATGTCATTCTTCTCATCGAGACAAACATTTCAACATATGGCACGGCCCGAGATGACGCACGAGAAGGAAGAAATCTAAAAGAGAAATTCGACTAGAAAGCACAAAATACAGATTTTTCTAAGCAAAACGTCCCCTCGCTCCATTGGATGTTTGACCGCGAAAATGGATCCATTATGACTCGAAGGGCTTCGATTTGAGGTAAGATTTGCTCAAGATCAAGGCCGCAAAGACACCGTATCAACGCTTCAAAGAAGGCACAATTTTCCGACGACCTCCATAAATCTTAAAGTGACCAATTGGGGTCCAAATTGAGGGATTTTCATTGCAAAATGATCACGAGGACATCCTCTTCGATTTGTGACAAAGAAAAATACCAAAGATGCGACGGAATTACCTAGATCTGAGGAGCAAGAATTCAAATTTGTGGGTTTGGCCGGAATTTTGAAACCATAAGCAAAACTCTGTTTCAAATCGTAAACCGTATGTCAAAACGATCGACTCGAAACGATCTATGTTTCTATGACATCTAATCGTCCGAAACATCGCTGGATCGCAAGGGAGAAGCTCCCAAGCCATGTGGATGGGACGAAGCACCTTTTTGAGGGCCTATTTATCATTTCCATGATTTCCAAGGGTAGAAACGGTCATTTTTCACATAATCCGAAAATTCACTTTAATTCATTTTAATTCCATTTTTAGGCAATTAGGGTCGTTTTTGAGTGTGCACCACCCTTGTTTAAGGGGCACCTCTATATAAGCTCAAGGCTTATCATTTATAAAAGGTTGGCAGTTTTAGTGAAAAATGAATTGAATTGTGCCCAACCCAAGAGAAGATAGAAAAGTTTTACAGTTTTTACTTTAGAAAGAATACCCTTGGACTACAAATCCCTACACGTTGGACTATGCTCCTTAGTCCACCCTAGACCACAAATCCGTACACCTTGGACTATACTCTCAAGTCTATCATAAAATCATACACCCCTAGCCCCTTAAACCATATATCCCTAGCTTACCTTAACCATACTCTCTAGCCTATCCCAAACCACACCCTATACCCTTGAACCATACACTCTTAGCCTTCTATATAATCCATAGACCTCTCTCAAGAGCTTTCAAGAACCACCGGGATTCAACCTAATCTCTAGACTCGAGCCACCGGCTTCTCACCTAGGTACCCAGTCTCTCTCTCTCTCTCTCTCTCTC